CAAACCTGCAGGAGAATGCAAAAGGGGGAGTGTTGGGAGTCAGATCTTTTGCTCAGGCTTGCTGTAGCTTGTCCACATAGCTTTAAACCGTGTTGCATGTGAATGCAGCCAGTATGTGGTGGGCTACAACTTAATGTAAACAGCTCATTTATAGCATCAAAACTCAGTCATGTTATGTGACACAACTATTCCATGTGGCACTGCATACGGACCTAGTGACAGTGCTGTTGTGACAATGTTCCAGGTTTTAACCACATTCTCAACCTGTAAACAGTCTTCAGGCATATAGACTCAAACAGCTTTTTCATCTGCTAGACATTTTCATCTGCTAGCCTTAAATGTCCAGCAGTTCCATTCAACATAGATCCTTTCAGTACTGTTTTTTTTATTATTTGCATATTGGGGGGAAAAGAAAAAGGGAATACTGTTACCCTTGCAGTATTTTTTGGTAAATAGGTTTCACTTGTCTTGCTAGGCTAAAAGAGCTGTCTGATATTGCCAAGATGCAAGTTGATGCTTTGGAGAATCGCCAGCAATCCAGAGAGAAAGAAGTGGAATCGCTCAGAATGCAGATTTTGGATTTTCAGGTATGGTCTATCTCTGCTTAGAAGCATAACCATTCACCCCTGTGACACAGATAATAAACCCAGTACCGTGTAAATGCTTAGCAAATGCATTTGATTATATATATATATATATATATTATCTTACTTGCTATTCAGGCACAATCAGATGAAAAAACACTTGTTGCAAAATTACATCAGCATATCGTGGCCCTTCAGGTCAGTGAAGCCACTGCTGTGGCCAAGTTAGAGGCTGCCATATCAAAACTTCAGAAGATGGAGGTTGCTAATATGCGCCTAGAGCAGAAACTGGATGATAAAGAGCAAGCATTGTACTATACACGACTCGAGGGGAGGAATAGAGCTAAGCATCTCCGCCAGACTGTACAGTCACTGCGACGACAATTCAGTGGTGCTTTGCCCCTGGCTCAGCAGGAGAAGTTCTCCAAAACTATGATTCAGCTTCAGAATGACAAACTTAAGACTATGGATGAGGTCCAGCTTGCTCAGCAGGAGCGCCGAAACGCAGAGAACAGAGCACTGGAGCTGGAGACAAAGTTAAAAGGATTAGAAGAACTAATAGCCACATTGAAAGATACAAGAGGAGCACAGAAGGTTTGCAATATTACAACTTTAACTATATATTTGAGAATTGACTCTCAGTTCAGATAAAGTTTTGGGCTTTGTTTGATTTGATTTTTCATTTTTATTGCCTTGATTAGCCAAGAGGGAAAAGCAGCATCTGCTTATCAATGTCAATTGACAGAATGTCAATTTCCACTGTAAAAATGTCAGTCACCCCCATTTGAATGTGTGTTGTATTCCATTAGTGCTTCATCACTCAGATTCTTTCGTATTCATATTTAATCACATGCGCACATTCTTCATTTTGTTAATCTGGGCCAAAATGCAAAGAATTCATGAGATGCTTGCTTGTGCCTCTACCCATGCACCAAGGATTCTACGTGGTTATGTATTTTTTCCCAACAACCTCTCCTTTCAACCAAATTCTCCTGATTTTTGAGAGAAACACCACAATGAGCTAGTTCATCTTTTTTTCTGCAGTAGTTTGGCATTATTTGGAATCAGTTTGGTCCTTAAATTGTTGTAAGATTTGGTCATTTGTGTATTGTCAGGTAATTGAATGGCATATGAAAATTGAAGAGCTTCGTCTTCAGGACCTTAAAATGAACCGCGAATTAGCCAAGAAAAAGGAAGAGATTAAATATTTGAACAATATCCTTTCTGAATACGAACGTACCATTAATAACCTGGAAGAAGAAATTGTACAGCAGAGCAAGGTACAGAAAAGCAAGTGGTGTTGCACTATTGGTTTTTTAAAAAATTAATGTAACTTTAGAAAGTCTGCAGAGAAAACTCCTACAAAAGTTTTGCTGCGTGTAACGTGAAAAATGTTCCTGTATCTAGCATATATTTGTGCTGCTCTCAGAGGCTGTGTACAGTCCTTATTAAACCCCTTAAATCTTGTAGTTCCATGAGGAGCGGCAGTTGGCCTGGGAACAAAGAGAAGTAGAATTAGAACGTCAGCTTGACACTTATGACCGTCAGCAGAAGGACATAATTAGAACCGCTCAGAAGGTACCTGATTTCGTACTGATAAGTCCCATAACACGTCAAGTGTCATTATTCCACCCGGCTGTCGTCTGGGGTTGGGGGTGGGGGTCTCCGCCTGCCTGCGCAAAACAACCCTTTCTGTTTCCTTCTCTGCAGTTTGATGAAGCTACAGGATCAGTTTCAGACCCCAGCTTGCCCCTTGCACATCAGCTTGAGCAAGCTCTAAGGAAAATACGAGAACACATCCGAACTATCCTGGAAGTGCAAGCCACCTGCAAATCCTTAGAAGAGGTGATTGGATTGTTCAGCTAACTGAATCATATGCTTTTAGTGATTTATAGAGTAGAGATTTTGCCTCTGGCAGAGGAAGGTATCTTTAGTTGCATTGCTCCTTCCTCTCACTCCAGAAGGCGGCACGGCTGTTCAATTTTTAAAACCCTTTTTTTTACCTTTTATTTATTAAATTTGTATGCCACCTTTCACCCAAGGATCACACAGTGATTCACAGCGTAAAAATATAAGATGAGAACATAAAATTCATAATGGAACAAAAAGAAAAAAAACCTGAATAATTTCTTCCACAAACCCATTTAAAAGGCTGCAGAATGTTACTCAGCCAAAGGCTTGGTTATAGAGAAACAGTTTGGCCTGGCACTTAAAGATATGTAATGAAGGCGCCAGGCTATCAGGTTGGGCTTTGACTCCACCTGGTGCTCAAAGGCAGGAACAATGTCTTGGGAAGCAGGTAGCTCCCAGAATGCACTTCAGTTGCTCCTGCCTTTGATTAAAACAGCTATACTGTGATGTTCTTTGTTGGTTGTCTAGTTCTGTTAACCTAAAAATGAATAATCTATCTATCTATCTATCTATCTATCTATCTATCTATTCTGGTCCTGCCCCCCCCTTGTTTTTCACAGCTCCCCACTTGCTTTATTCCCCCCTCTTTTCTCCATGTTGAAAAAAGAAGAAGAAATCCTCTCAATTATTTTTGTCGTTTTTGGTAACAGAGATTTATTTTATTACAGAAACTGAAAGAAAAAGAAGCTGCTTTGTGGAAAGCGGAGCAAAGTATCTTATCCAGAGACAGGATCATAAATGAACTGAGGCTTCGATTGCCAGCATCATCAGAGAGAGAGAAAATAATAGCAGAGCTTGGACCAAAAGAGGAGGACTCTGCTGCCTCTCCTCGTGCTCTGAAAATTGCGCACCAGACAATTGCAAATATGCAAGCGAGATTAAATCAAAAAGAGGAAGTGTTGAAAAAGTACCAACACCTTTTGGCCAAAGCAAGAGAGGTATTTACAATACAAAATGCATGAGCTGTTATTGTAAACAGCCCTGGAAATTTTGAATTGAAGGGCTTTGTAGAATTTTTTTAATGAATGAATGGAAAATGCTGGGTTACACAGGGCCATTTGAACTGGGCAGTGGTGGCACAGAGGTGCCATTTGTGTGAATTGGTGTTTCCAACATGACTTGGGACTGCATTATTTTGAGTGCCATTCATGGGGGAAAGTCCTGAATACATAGCATAAGGAAGTGAAGGAAGTTAAAAGTGACTTCTGTGTTTGGAAAACTTGAAGAGTATTGCCTTTTGTTGTGGACATCCTTTTCAGTTTCTTTAGTGTGACAAGATTAACTATTTGAAATTTTTGTAGAATAGAATGGACACAGAAACAAATATATATATTTTTGCACTATTTAGGAACAAGAGGAAATTGCAAAGAAACATGAAGACGACCTCAGAGTGCTACATCAAAAGTTAGATATACATGCTGACAGTTCTTTTAACAAATTCAAGCAAACTGCATTAGTAAGTATAAGTTTTGTTCATGATTTATGCATTTGAGGATTTGGGGAATGAAGATAAGATGGGGACAGAATTGAAAAATGGTGATTTCTTACCCTTTTTGCTTGGATCCAGCAAAGTTCAAATGTAAAGTACCGTATTTTTCGCCCTATAAGACGCACCAGACCACAAGACTAGTTTTTGGAGGAGAAAAACAAGAAAAAATATATTCTGAATCTCAGAACCCAGAACAGCAAGAGGGATCGCTGTGCAGTGAAAGCAGCAATCCCTCTTGCTGCTCTGGCTTCTGGGATAGCTGCGCAGCCTGCTTTCGCTCCATAAGACGCACACACATTTCCCCTTACTTTTTAGGAGGGAAAAAGTGAGTCTTATAGAGCAAAAAATACGGTAATTTGTGGAAGCTGTCTCTTTACAGCTGCCCACCCCACCGTCAAAACGCTGGTCCCATGGGTTGGAGACAACCTTGGGATTTTTTTTGTTTGTTTTTAAAGAGGAATACATATGAAGTGGGAAGTCAACGGAGATCACTGTCCCACCCATTGAGTGAGCTGAATCAATCAGAAGCCCTTGTGTTCCAGCCACTGAGTTCCATCAGGCTTCCACTGGCTTTCTGCAGCCTTTGGGGCACCATTAGTGACGAATTGAAATATAAAGCTCTTAAGGATCTGGGCCCCAAATTTGCAGTGATGACTTCATATCCTGTGACTGTGGCCCAATGTTTAAAACAACAAAGGTGCCTTTCTTATGATATCATCAGTGCCATAGTGTACTGCATTCCTGATGATAGAAAAGTAATAAAACACACACTGGTAATAAAAAGGAGTTCTGGAAACCATTTTTAGGAATTTTTGTAAAATGCTATTTTTAGACAAGCTATTGTTAGGGCTTCACAGCATGCGAATGAAAAACATGGTTATATTGCAAGAATTTACCAGGTAAATAAGGGCAAATGAGCCGTACTGTACCTCAACTTAGTTAAGATGCAAATATATCATGCATCTTAGTTTATGCATTACATCCAGGATATGAGTTAAACAGTAATATCAAACAAACAATAGAATATTTATTTATTCATTAGATAACCTGTTTTGTTCCACAGGAGTTGGTGAAAAAGCCATCTTTAGCTGTCCCAGCAAATAAACATTTAATTCGTCTGGCAGAGATGGAGCAAACTGTAGCAGAACAGGACAGTTCCCTTGGATCCCTTCTGAACAAATTAAAGAAAACATCGTCCGAATTGCAGAAGCAAAAGCAGATTACTTTGGCAAAAATCAAGGAATTTGATAACATCAGGGTCCAGTAAGTGTAGATTAGAATTATACTTCATTCTGTAAATGATCTGCTGAGATCTTGAGAGTCGTCATGTTTCATCAATCTTTAGAAAACCTTGGCTAAAATATATAATATAAATAATCGTAAAGGTAAGCATTCAGCTTAAACATAGAGCTCATTTTCATTATATAAAAATAATAGGTTATTTTTGTTTTCAGGAGTACTTCATTATACACCTTTAGGTGCCAGGCAAAAACGTTCCTTTTTAACCAGGCCTTTGGTATACCTGATCAACATCCCACACCCTTTTAAAATGTGGCTCTTTGGCGGGGCGTATTATTGGTTTATTGCTTTTATTTTTATTTTATATACTGTGATCTTTTTATGTGAACCTCCCTGAGACCTCCAGGCATACGGCAGTATATAATAATAATAATAATAATAATAATAATAATAGCAGCAACATTATCTTTTAAAGGTATGTTGAAAAGATCAGTTCATTGGGCAGTATCCAACTAACAGTTCTTCTTGCACAAGCCCTTTTGGCTGAACTGTGGAGCTTCCTCTCCCACCAGGCCCCCCAACCTGCTCTGGGGGAACCCCAGAACACATTTATGGACTGCATGGGGAGAGGAGAGGGAGAATAAGTTTCATTGCTTGGGCTAGTGGAACTGCTTCGTTGGATACCACCCTTTGGGTTTTATAGGATTTCGTTAAAAGAATAAAATTGGTTGTAGTCCATAGCCTGTAGTCCTATTTAGTTCAGCTTCATTGCTCTGGAATAAGCATTATGTAGACAGTGTCCTTCCCTCCATAATTAAACCTGTTACTGGGGTTGTTATATAGTGTCTTTTTCCCCAAATTAGATTTAAGTATACGTGACTGGATTGTAACTACTTGCCTTCAAATTACTAGAAGGTTTGACCAGTTGGAATCCATTCACTGGTCTCCAGTCTGTGCATCACAGAATCAATGTACAGTTGGGTGGGGAACCCATGACCTTCTAGATGTTGCTGGACAACAGTTCTCATTCTCCTTGGCCATTGGCTTCGCTGTATGGGGCTGATGGAAACGGGAGTCCCACAAGATCTGAATGGCCACAGTTTCCTAATTTCTGGGTCACATGCATTAGATTCAGCTTTGATAAACCCCCATTCTAACATGAAACTTAACAAGCAGACATCTGGCAGAACTCTCAGGATTTTTATGAGGTGGGTGGTGGCATGGACTACCCTGATGATTCTCCTCCCAAGCATATGTTTTGAACAGTAGATTTTTGAGCCACGAGGTGAAATAAAATGAGGACATTTGTTTGTTAATGAGCTATGAAGAAAATAAATGAGAGAACACAGCTGACTTTGCTTATCTAAGTTGACAGTGTGTGCTCCTCTAGGCTGTTGGGAATAATGTATAATTATAATCGAAACGATGCAATACTTCAGCCTAGTTAGTCCATCTGGAACTCGCTCAATTTTGCCAATGGATGTCATTATTATTTATTATTTTGCTCTGCTAGGCTTGAAGAGAAGCATGCATCTGAAGTGAAAAAATTGAAAGATGAAGTGGATGAGCTAAGAAGTTTGTTGTCACAGATGGAGAAAGAATTACTGAATGCAAAACTGGAGCTGGAGGCCCAAAGAGAAGCAAATAATAGAGCTCCAACAACTACAATGAAAAATCTAGTGGAACGGCTGAAGAATCAGCTAGCCTTAAAAGAGAAACAGCAGAAGGTAAGCATGGAAACTAGTAATTGGGTGTAAACCAGCTCATTTTCTCTAACAGAATTATTTCACCTTTTTTATTGTGAGCCTCTCTGCAGGGACCTACTCATTCTTCTTACATACAGTGTCTAGTATATTTTAGACATTTTTGTGAAATAAGAACAATAAAGAATTAATTGAGGGAACATTGGCTTGAATTCTATAACTTTTTGAATGTCGTGGACTCAACTTCACTCCAAACACTTAACCAGTTGCTGGATAGCACAGGAGGGGAGAATGCTCTTGTGCTTAAATCCTGCTTGTGGGTTTCCTACTGTGAGAACAGGATGCTGAACAATTATTATTATTATTTGTAAACCCCCCGCCATCTGACTGGGTTACCCCAACTAGATGGGCCACTGGTCTGAACCAGCATGACTCTTCTTACTGCCTTATGTTAACTGCCACCAGAAACGATGGCAATATATTAAGCAGAGAGCTTGTTGAATATTAGGCTACTTTATTATTTAAACTTAATATTAACTCTATGTACTGTTAACCTTTTCCCTCTATATGTCATAGACATATATCTTATTCCTGTTTTTTATCCCTGTTGGGGTTTTTTTTTAAATTGCTTTCTTTCTTTAGCTGTCCAGCAAAGCACATAGGCATATAACTGCAAAATGTTGACCTAGATGTTAAAAGGATTTGTGTTTATTGTTTTTCATCAAATTTAATCATTTTTAAGATTGATAAATATTTTTCAGGCTTTGAGTAAAGCACTTCTGGAGCTCCGAGGAGAAATGACAGCTGCTGCAGAACAACAGATTATTTCTGTAGCATCACAAAAAGAGGCACACATGAACGTTCAACAGATCGTTGACAAGCAAACAAAGGAACTGAGGGTGAGCAGGAAGTGAAGTCTTACCTATATTGGCCTGATGTGAAAGCAGAACACCAGAGCGGATAGATGCCACTGTGAGCATTACAGACACCAATACGCTGCTGTATCTTCCAGTCCTCAAATAGTACTTTTGAGTGTTAAAAGCCCCATGATGCACTTTCCCAGACACTGCTACTTAGCAGTTTCTGTTAATTTCACCACATTGTGTGTGGGCCTCCTGCATAAAATTGAATGAAACGGAGTTCCATATTACTGTGATCAAGGTACACTGATAATGTGTCTGTAATCGTAGTCTATTCCACAAAAAAACAGACTTGTGCTTCCTTGAAACCTGGCACATGGATTGCAAGATGTATGGGATACTACCCATGGTTTTGCATGGTTTCTTCCCTAGAAGAACAATAAATGGATACATCATAATACTTTATTGGTGTTTAGAAAAAATGGCTGAATTTAGGATTGCAGTTCAGCAATTACTTACTATGTGGTAATAGGGCTGCTATGTGGTGAACCAAGTCCTTTTGTGTACATATATTCCTGGATTGTATCTCTAGCATTTCCACTAAAATTATTTCAGTTCGTAACTTTCCAAAAGACAGGTGCTGCCTTGAAGAATTGATCATACTGGGCTTGATGCACCAACGGCCCCCGCTTTTGATGTTGAATCCAGCAGCATAGAGTCTTAATGCAACTGAGTATTTGGTGTGGTTAAGAAAAAAAGGATCTCTCCTTTTAGCTTTTTTTTTTGGTCACAAATGTACAGGGTCAAGTTTTTAGAACTGTGTTTTTAGTAGGTGATATCTAAGATTAGTCACATTCAGAGTAGACAAATAGAGATTGTATGCTGACTTGTATGTTGTTTTCGGTGGATCCATTCTGGGTTTAATTGACCATGATATCACCCAATATTAGCAAATGTTTATTGTCTGACATGGCATGCATTGTCATTTGTTTCTTTGTTCATTTTGTTGGCAGTCTGGAAATAATATATCATAAAAAAATATTTTCTTAGATTCAGTTAGAAGATTTAAATGACCAACTTTCAAAACTTAAAGATGCCCTCAAACTAAGCAAAAATAAAGAGAATTCATTACTAGATGAGGTGGATGATTTAAATCACGAGCTTCAGAAAAAAGTTAAAGCCCACACTAAATTTCTAAGGGAGAGAGAAGAGATGGAAAAAGAAAATGAAGAACTGAAAAAGCGGATTAAAAGGCTAACCAATGCAATTCAGGTAAATATATTTTGAATTATAAAACAAAGAACATTGTTTTGGTAGTATACAAATAAATTGCATATTTCTTGAGTCACTGGTTGGCTGGTTTTGCACTGCAGCAAATCATCTGAACGTTGTTTCGGTTCAATTTGAGAATTTTGTACATTGCATATATATTTATCTGAGTTTGCAATACATAAATGAATTGAATAAATAAAAACCTGGCAACTATGATTAAGTGCAAATCAGCCATCTTATCTATGTATCAGTGCTTGTGTCTGATTTAAATCTTAATTATAATCTTATTTATATACTTGAAGCATTAAACTTGGTTATTTGAATGAAGAATATTTGCATGTGTAGAACGCTTGCATTTTCCCTTAATGTGCATGTGTATATGTGTGTGTATAATATATATAATCATTCCTTAGAGCCAGTGCTTCTCTAATTAAGAGCATGATCCAGAAAAGACAGCCACTGTGTATTTTGCATTATTTCAATGGAGTTTGCATATCGCATCTGGTTGTGCAGTGGTGATACCTGCTAAAATGCTCCCAGTGTCCACAGTCATGATGCATGGCAATTAAAGTTAGTTTAAACTTTTCCCAATTTTTCAGGGAAAAGCTGATGACCAAAGCCTGATAGAGGAACTTCAAAGAAAAATTAAGAAGTTGGAAAGTGAACTAGGAAAGAAGAGTGATGAGTCAGAAATGAAAACCCCGAGAGAGGACAAGGTATGAGAGATGCACGACTAAAATAAATTTAGCTTACATCATTTCTCACTCTCATGTTGGGTTTTTTTTTTGGGGGGGGGGTTGCATTATAATGACTCCTTTGCTTTGTTATGAATGCAATACTTTGTGGGCAGGGTTGGGTTAAAGTTTTGTTTTAGCACAGGGGTCAGCAACCTTTTTCAGCCGTGGGCCGGTCCACCATCCCTCAGCCCATGTGGTGGGCCAGACTATATATTCTTTTTTTGGGGGGGGGTAATGAACAAATTCCTATTCCCCACAAATAACCCAGAGATGCATTTTAAATAAAAGGACACTTTCTACTCATGTAAAAACACGCTGATTCCCGGACCGTCTGTGGGCCGGATTGAGAAGGCAATTGGGCCACATCCGGCCCATGGGCCTTAGGTTGCCTACCCGTTTTGGATCATTGTTAATGCTATGTGTGATGTGTTTTATACTGTTTTGATATTGCAAGGCTTCTTGAGTAGGCTGTGCCCCCAAAGGCAGAATGCAAATGAATGAATAAATGAATGGTCAGACAGCATGATTGGTCCTGTCGATTGGT